TGTAACTTTTGTGCCAAGAATAAGACCTCAAAAAAAGTTACCTATTATTACTTATTCTACCACTATTGTCACCACCTTTATCCCTATTAAAGTTCTGAAAGACAGAAATATAAAGTGACTTATCTAAAACAGAGCAAGTAACAAAATCTGTAAGTCTTTAAACTCCAAAGAATAATCTTTAAAATTCAGTGATTACTCAAGTAAGTAATCCCTCTAAGTCTCTAAAAGCTTATGCAGGATCCTCCAAATTAGAGCAGCAGCATACAGTAGCAAAAATAGCAGAATCACAAACCAAGAATTATTTGCTCCATTACTGTTCCATTGGCTAAAGTTTGCAAGTCACCCAATCCAAATTTCAAACAGCTCATCTTACATTACGGGGTTGTTGTGAGATCAAATGAGATAATGCATTAAAAAACATATCCAAATCATTATAGCTCTGTACAAACACTCAGGGACCATGTTTTAATTATTTTTATACCCCTAATGCCTAGCAAAATATACAGGTTATATCTATAAGGAAACCCATGAGACAAATGGGCATGGTGGCACACACCTGTAATCCCAGCACTTGGGAGGCTGAGGCAGGAGGATTGCTTGGAGTTTGAGAGCAGCCTGGGATACACAGTGAGTTCCAGAGCAGTCTGAACTACACAGTGAGAACCTGAAGAAAGAAAGAAAGAAAGAAAGAAAGAAAGAAAGAGAGAGAGAGAGAGAGAGAGAGAGAGAGAGAGAGAGAGAAGAAAGAGGAGGGGGAGGGAGAAAACAACAAAAAAGGAAACCCATGAGAGACTGTTATGTGAAGAATTGATGAAGATGGGGAAATAAGAAATCCATATGTCCATCAACTGATGAATAGTAAAAAATGTAGTACATCAATATAGTGAAATATTATTTGACAATGAAAAGGGAAACCATGGATATATACATATACAACATGGGCGATCCTTGAAACATATGCTAAGCAAAAGAAGCCAGACACAAGACTCTATGAAATGAAACAGCATGATTCCCTTTACAGGAAATGTACAGAACAGGCAAATCTACAGACATGGTTAAGTACATGGACTGTGTGTATGCAGTGGGGGAGGTGACCGCAAATAGATACTGGGTTCCTTCTCTTATGACGCTGGGAATTGAGAACCCAGGGCCTTGCACTGAGCCAGTACATTGTTTTATTTTGAGCCAGGCTCTCATTAAGTCGCTAGGTTGCCTAGACTGGGTTCAAACTTGCTATCCTCCTGTCTCAGCCTCCCAGAGTGCTGTGATTTTAGACATGTGCTACCATGTCCAGCCAAGTATCTTTTTGAAATGACATTCTAAAAATTGCTGTGGTTATGGCTGTCCTCCTCTGTGAATACACTAAAAACCATTGTATACTTTGTATACTTTACATGGATGAATTCTAGGAAATGTGAATTTTATCTCAATATGTAAAGCTGTTCTTAAAAAGGTTAAGTTTGAAAGAGAACTGCCAAGCTATAACTGTCTTTAAAAACACTTTTTTAAGAGAAAAAATAGTGAGCTCTATGTGAACAAGACTGAGACTGAGGCAGGTATTAGGAGAAAATACTAAAAATTACCACACCAGACCAATACATCTCTACACTCCGGTGAAAAACAAATCTGGCATCTGCCATCTTTCCTTTCAAAATTCTAAGGTTACAAATCACCTCCTTTGTGGTCTTATTCAACAGTCTTCATTATGGTCATTATTTCTAAACTAGAAGACCAAAATTAGTGCAATCAAAAATCTTGTAGAAAAATCTTCCTATCTGGTTTCTGTGCCACTGATGTACTTCTAATTCTTTTCAAAATGATTTACCTATTAGTCTACCTCAAAGCTCTTTCTCTACTATACTACTTCCCTCCCAATACATATCCGCTCACATTTTATTATCATCTATAGTCCAGTCACTGAAAAATCTACATTTCCTTTCTGATAATTCATTTATATAATGACTAAATGCATAAGGTTTAGTAACTTGCCCCAAAGTCCTTTAAGATTAAATGACCTTATGATGTTTCAGTAAAATAATAACCAGTTTAGAAAAACGCCTGACATAAAGTATTCAATGTTAGCTATTGTTTTATACTCAACCAGTATATCAGGACTTTATCTTACTCCCAAGTTCTATCAAACCAACCCCTACATCCTTCAAAGAGCCTCCACTAACACCCTTACCAATTCCAAATTCACTTTTTACTCACCAATACAGATTCTCTGTGACAGTTTCAAGATACGTCATACTTTTTTGTGCATTTCTCTGCCTTTGCACATGTCCCTTCGATTTCCTGGAATACCCATCTTCCACTTTTGAAAACTTTTCCCACATGTCACATATACCTTTGATTGCACTGTTATCCCAAACAGGCGTTAAGTGGATGTTGTTTGGTGATTTTGTAGGTTATTTTGTTTGGTTTTGGTTTTCTGATACAGGGTCTCACTATGTAATTCAGGCTGGTCTTGAACTCAGAGAGATCCTTCTGCCTTATTGTAGGCATGCAACACCACACCAGGCTGGCTGGTGATTTTGATGTCCAAGCTGCACCTACAACAAAACTAACTTCTGTTCCTCTTTCAACAAAAGCTGACGTTTTTAAAGAGACCCATATATTATTCCCCGTGTTTCTTCATAAGACTACTTCATAAACAGGCAGTCTAGCACTTTGCAGAAGTACAGCACACAAATGCTGACTGACTTACTAAAAAATGTTTCAGACTATCAAGACATTCACTACTTTTGCTGCCCCACCCATACTTAGCATAGTGAAAGCAGACAGAATCTGTATTTAAATATTTTTATTCTACATAGAAGGGGAGACTATACTAACAATTATACCTTATAAATGTAAACAATTATTAAAAATACACTGACATTAGGGTAGGGGATTCAGCTCAGTGGTTCCAACGCCTGCCTTGCAAGCACAAGGTTCCGAGTTCAAGCCCCATAACAAAAAAAAAAAAAAAAAAAAAAC